TTTTCATACAATGAGTTTTCATACAATGAGTTTTCATACAATGAGTTTTCATACAATGAGTTTTCATACAATGAGTTTTCATACAATGAGTTTTCATCCAATGAGTTTTCATCCAATGAGTTTTCATCCAATGAGTTTTCATCCAATGAGTTTTCATACAATGAGTTTTCATACAATGAGTTTTCATACAATGAGTTTTCATACAATGAGTTTTCATACAATGAGTTTTCATCCAATGAGTTTTCATACAATGAGTTTTCATACAATGAGTTTTCATACAATGTAAGTTGCATTCTTAATTTGGATACTAGCACTGGGGTTGGGACAACCAAAAGTGCGTGTAAATTAATTTATTAATACCGCATTTCCTTGGCCCTCTTACAATTATTTCAGCAGAAAGAATGTGGGGAGCAAAAAGCTTTCCGGGGCGCAAAATCGCAAACGCAACGCAGAAAAAAGTATGTCGTAATAGGAAAAAGAGCGGAGCCATACAGGGAAAGGGGCGCCAGAACGGGTGCTTCGCACAGGGCGAAAGTTTACCTAAGCCTTAACTTTGGCGCCCCTTATAAGTATAATCATTAAAGGAAAAAGCGAGTCATTCGGTAATGAGTTTATTCTCTATGTTCAATGAACAGTTCAACATAGGTGATAAACTCATTGCCGAATAACTAGTTTGTTCCTTGAATGATTACACTTATAAGGGCCGCCTAAAGTTGCCAGATGTCCACTATTTGAGCGGAAAGTCCGCCTTTTTCCCCATTATCTTCATTTTTAAAAAATTCAAAAGCTATATGATGAAATGGTACGTAATCTAAAGCTGTACAGTTATGATGAAATGGTACGTAATCTAAAGCTGTACAGTCTAAGAGAATAAGGATTGGAGAATCGCGTTGTGTCCTTTTTTTTCTTCATAAGTTAGAATGAGATTTAACTATAAATTAATTGCTACTTACTCCCCCCCCCCCACTCCCCCACCCCGCTTGTCTGCTATTTTTTGGAAGCAGACCTGGCAATCCTAGGGGCGCCAAAGTTAAGCTGGCACTGGGCGCTAGCATCCGTCGGGCCGGCCCTGTGTGAAACGGTCACACACTATTGGGAGCATGTGATTATGGGAGTCCACTAGTTCTTAATGACATCACTAAGTGATCACGTTTCATGCGTCTATTCATCTAACAAAGTATCTCCGCCCATGACTAAAAAACCGACCCCCCCCCTCCCCCTTGTAATAACAATTTTGCTGGCGCCCGTGTTCAAACAGCTGAAGTAGCTCCTCACCATTGCTGTGGCGGTGGTGTTGTGGAATGATATGACAGCAGCTTCATTGCTGTGGCGGTGTTGCTGTGGAATGATATGACAGCAGCTTCATTGCTGTGGCGGTGGTGTTGTGGAATGATATGACAGCAGCTTCATTGCTGTGGCGCGTCATTGTGGAATGATATGACAACAGCTTCATTGCTATAGTGTGTCATTGTGGAATGATATGACAACAGCTTCATTGCTATAGTGTGTCATTGTGGAATGATATGACATCAGCTTCATTGCTGTGGCGCGTCATTGTGGAATGATATGACAACAGCTTCATTGCTATAGTGTGTCATTGTGGAATGATATGACAGCAGCTTCATTGCTGTGGCGTGTCATTGTGGAATGATATGACAACAGCTTCATTGCTGTGGCGTGCCATTGTGGAATGATATGACAACAGCTTCATTGCTATAGTGTGTCATTGTGGAATGATATGACAGCAGCTTCATTGCTGTGGCGTGTCATTGTGGAATGATATAACAACAGCTTCATTGCTATAGTATGTCATTGTGGAATGATATGACATCAGCTTCATTGCTGTGGCGCGTCATTGTGGAATGATATAACAACAGCTTCATTGCTATAGTGTGTCATTGTTGCGTGTTGTGGAATGTTTCGTCAGCAGCATCATTGCTCTAGCGGTGTCGTTGTGGAATGACACGGCAACGGCATCATTGCTGGCCACATCTCAGCGTATCTTGATTTATTGCAGCCCGGGGTAAAACCCCAAAAGTGGCAACCCTCTCTAATAGCAAAGGCACTAATTTATAATCCTTACAGTTGTCCTAGGCGTTCGACCCCCCCTCCCCCTACTTTTCACACCACTAGGTACGCCACTGGCTGGCCAAGCGTTTAAAGAAATTTATTATAAAAAATTATCGAAGTAAAGACAATACCCAGAGGTGACAATTTTTTTGTAGCACGCAAAAATAAAAACTTATTTATTTGTTGTTGTTTTTTTCGAAAATACTCCACAAATTTCTTTCCTGACGGTTCTGTTGAAAAAAAATAATCACAATACGGCGAACTGCTGATAAGGGGAGAAAATCCAATTTCACAGCTCGTTCAGTCGGGACTTGACATGTCTGCCAACCACAGCTTTGATAGATGAGAATGTGTATAAATCACTTGGATAGAAAGTGACAGTCACAGCTTTGATAGTTGAGAGTATATACAACACTTTAGTAGACGTGAAATCTACAGCTTCGTTAGATGAGAATATATACAACACTTGGGTGTACGTGATGGCCACATCTTTGATATTTTATAATATATAAATATATATATATATATATATATATATATATAAATATTTTATATTTTATAATATATATATATATATATATATATATATATATATATATATATATATATATATATATATATATGTATACATTTGGTTAGACGTGACAGCCACAGCTTTGATACATGAGAATGTATGCAACACTTGGTTAGACGTGACAGCCACAGCTTTGATACATGAGAATGTATACAACACTTGGTTAGACGTGACAGCCACAGCTTTGATACATGAGAATGTATACAACACTTGGTTAGCGTGACAGCCACAGCTTTGATACATGAGAATGTATACAACACTTGGATAGACGTGACAGCCACATCTTTGATACACTAGAATGTATACAACACTTGGGTAGACGTGACAGCCACAGCTTTGATAAATGAGAATGTATACAACACTTGGGTAGACGTGACAGCCACAGCTTTGATACACGAGAATGTATACAACACTTGGATAGACGCGACAGACACATCTTTGATACACTAGAATGTATACAACACTTGGGTAGACATCACATATTGGGTTTCGTTCTCATACAAAAATCACATACATAGATACCGTAAGTTAACTTTGGTAACATCCATCCACCCATCCATCCATCCATCCCTGTGGCACTATATCCCATGTAGGGCCTTGGCTTGTCTCACCACATCCTTCCACTCAGACCTAACTGATGGTTTTCTTTTCCATGCTTGGATTCCCAGCTGCTGTAGATCCCCCTCCACATCATTCATCAATCTCATGTCTGCCTTTGAGCAGTTTCCCCCCTGGGGTTTTGGTGGTGCACCCTCTTCATTCCTCTGTCATTTGGCATTCTTTTTAAGTACCCAGCCCAGTGTAGCCTGCCATTTTTAAAATTTTTGCTACTAGTGTGGGCTCCTGATATAGTCAGTTCCTGAAACAATTCCTGATTGGTACGTATTCTCCATCATATTCATCTTTCGTTGGGTCCGTTTATTTTCCTGGGACCTAATCCTAAATGTTCACAAAGCTAACACTTTAAAAGGGAAAATAAAGACCGACAATATTCTAAAATTACACAATTTCGTGGCTTATTTAAAAGATAGTGATAGAATAAATTGATAAATATGATTGATACATATATATTTATATATCCATATAAAAACCAGAATTGTAACAACTATTTATATTTCCGAAATCGTTACAGATATGTATGTGTATCGAACTAGGGTAACCATATAACACATTAATTTAAATACTTCGGATTGCTAAAAAATAAAGGTAGGGACTTTGTATTATTTTACGGACATCGAAAAAAATTTAAATGTGCTAAAACATAAAATATCTGCTTTTATTTAAGTATAACTCAAATTGTTAAAGTTACTTTATCATGGAAATACTTGTAACGTAACAATTAAAGAACTGTTGTAAGTATACTCTCCCAATTTGAAAGTCATTATATTAAAAATTAATTATGGTCTAGGAATTATTTTTCTTAAATCCTAATCACGTTTATCAGGAAATCCCATGCATGTATTTGTAAAGGATGGATTGACGTGTTTAAACGCCAACTCTCACGGGCCTGGCTTCCTTCGTATAATCATTCAGGGAGATACACGTATTGATAAGCGAGGTTGTTATTTTGTATGTGTCAGCCTTATCCATTGTTTATGACGATTAATATCCAACAATAAATATGGAGATGTAAAAAGATCACTTGAATAATTTACAGTGAACATCGCGGTAAATGACTGCTCATTTTGTCAGCTGTACGGTTTGTTCAAATCCGCTGACGTTGAATGCGATGCAGATCCCACGGCAACCTGACGCACGAGTGCCTACCGTGCCCATCGCGCCAATCACTTTAGGGAACGAGCTTATAATAGACTCGAACCCTTTCATCCATCCGTATTCACCAAACCGCTTACAACAGCACCTCCACCGCTCAAAACATCATCTCCGCCATATTCAGGAACAGCCCAGCAGCCTCGTTTCGAACGCGTCCTCCTGGAAGAGCGTATCTTCGCCGCACTCGACCGTCGGCTCGGATTCTGTCCCCTACACAAGTCTCCAGGTGAGCTTCCAGTCTTCCCACAACGAGACCTCGGAAACGCACCTCGCCACCTACGACATCAGCAAACAGCGTTACGACAATGAAACGGATCGAGTTTTCACCTCGGCAGATCTCGACTTTCCCCCCGACGTGTCTTCCGCCACGACTTCCGGTGATTTCAACGCGTCCCTCGCGGCGAACGAGACGTTCCCGGAGCAGTACAGGCTGCCGCAGATAAGCGTCGAGATTCAGATCGCCCTCTACTCCATCATATTCCTGCTGGCCCTCGTCGGCAACCTCCTCATCATCATCACGCTCATCCAGAACAAGCGCATGCGCACCGTGACCAACGTGTTCCTGCTCAACCTGGCCATCAGCGACCTGCTGCTGGCCCTCGTCTGTATGCCTTTCACCCTTGTGCCTGTGCTGCTCAGGAATTTCATATTCGGAAGTTTTATGTGCGTCTTCATCCGATATCTTCAAGGTAAGTCGTCTTTGTGTGTGTCTGTGTCTGTGTCTGTAACACACTCTAAATAATCTATTGTAAAAGAACCCCTCAAAAACGATAAAATACCGTGTACAGGCTGCCAGTAACTTACTGTAATATCTTGGATTAAGCGATAAATTATCGCTATTAGCATATTGTAATTTAACAATAATAGGCTGTTATTTTTAAGATTATCTTTAATGCCACTTGCAGCAAAATAATGAGGCTTGCATTTCTCGTTCGGTGTTGTTTTTGTACATATATTATTTGAATTCACGTTTTTAATATTTTATTTCTGTAAGAAATCACACACAGCAACAGCAAAATGCCATTTGGAAGACCCCCCCCCCCTTTTTTTTTTCCCTTCTTCTTTTTCTGTTGTTGTTTTCTTTTCCATTCAGGCGGGTCAGCGTAAATGTGCCCAACATAAATCAACTCTGGTTTATTGTATTTAATTTTTTTTTAAATATTTTTTTTTTTACAAATATGAAGGTAATTGTAACAGAATGTGAATGACACAATCTCTGCTTCCTGACTTACCGGTAGCTGTGCCCCTTTTAGGACTGTTTTGTATTTATTCATGGTTTGCCATTTATCGCTGCTGACTAACTGNTGACCTCATTAGTTTCTCTAGTGTTTTGCTGATATGAAACCTATGACCTCATTAGTTTCACTAGTGTTTTGCTGATATGAAACCTATGACCTCATTAGTTTCTCTAGTGTTTTGCTGATATGAAACCTATGACCTCATTAGTTTCACTAGTGTTTTGCTGATATGAAACCTATGACCTCATTAGTTTCTCTAGTGTTTTGCTGATATGAAACCGATGAGGTAATGTTTTCAAACAGGCTTCACTTTGCCATGAGAGTAACAGACAGCACAGCTCTGAGTATGCCCGTCCCAATCTGAGTCTTTAATTCTACTCGAGACCTGTGCTTCACTTCAAAGTCTGCACTTTTAACCTATCGCACTGAGTTCAAATTGTCTTGCCAATCTCACCGCTCCCGCCCCCACCACTCCTCACGCTTACAATAGCAGGAAATAAATCTCGTTTTACCACTAATGAGACTCACTCTTTGGGACGCGCCCCGGGCCACTTTCAATCTCAGACAATTCCCCCCCCCCTTTTTTTTCCTTTAAAGTTCCACCATTTTGTCATCCATTTTTGAGACAGACCCTCTCTTTCCATTTACCTCTCATTACTGATCTCTCTCTACATCTCTCACTTTCTGTACCTCTCCATCCATCTATCCATCACTATCCATATCTTTAACTCCATCTGAACCTTCCAAAAAAATAATTAAAATACTAATTACTAACTGATTAAAAACCAATATCATCTGTCATCCAGCAAGTTCACTTTTCATCCCACCTCTCCTTATTTCTCCTTCGTCTCGCGCGGTTTAAAAAGAAGTATCGATAAAATCTCGAATACACAACCGATAACTTTAAGCCATCGTTAAATTGCTGATTCAGATATTCACTGATTAACGTTCTTTTCTTCCAAAGACTGGAGTTGCTGGAACAAATTAGTAGTGATTAAAAAACAAAGTCCATAGGTCCTCTTATTCAGGTCATGAACTTAACAAGCATTCCCCATTTTGTAAACTCGAGATGTGGGTCACAGTCAATTATGTTTAAGGCAACCCATGTAATCATGAAAAAAAAAAGGAGGGGGGGGTGATAAGGACACCTTGTCCTTAACGGTACAGGGTCATTCATTGCATAACCAGAAGACATATTATTGTCACGCAGGCTGTTCTCAACACATGAAGCAGCCTGTTCTCAACACGTGAAGCAGGCTGTCTCTACACGTGAAGCAGGGTGTTCTCAACACATGAATCAGGCTGTTCTCAACACATTAAGCAGGCTGTTCTCAACACATGAATCAGGTGGTTCTCTACACATGAAGCAGGCTGTTCTCAACTCATGAAGCAGGCTGTTCTCAACACATGAATCAGGTGGTTCTCAACACATGAATCAGGTGGTTCTCAACTCATGAAGCAGGCTGTTCTCAACATATGAAGCAGGCTGTTCTCAACACATGAATCAGGCTGTTCTCAACACGTGAAGCACGCTTTTCTCAACACATCAAATATCACGGAAAAATTTAAACCAATTAAATTTAATGTAAAAAAATAAACGTGTTAAAACGAACATTCGTTGGGATAAAAATAATGGTTCAGGACTGAATTTAAAAAACACAAATCATATTTCCAGACTCGCCACGCCCATCCAATTGACAGTACAGATCTATGAATGCCTGCAGGTAGGCGGACATGCGTAGACGCACGTGACTTCTCTGGAAATCAATCAACCTTCTCTCGTTTGGGGGCACCTCAGGTTTGTGCGCACGGTTACAACGAAAGAAAAATATCGATGCATTGAACTAATTGGAACTACTTTTATAATATATGTCACGTATTGTATGATGTACGACACTACTTATATTTTGTATGCCACTACTTTATTGTTTTATTGCAAAAAGAATGATTATAAATTGATTTATTTCTATTTGATTGCGTCTTCTCTCCGCTCAGAAATCCTTCAAGGCTGTTAGGATTCAACTTTGATGTCACACGTGTCCAACAACAACCACTACAATCTCCCCCCCCCCCCCCCAATTCTTTTTCCCCAATAAGCACCAGTACTACCAAAAAGGACTTCTTCCTCATTCTTATTCGTTTCTATTCTTTTACTTTTAGATAGGATACAACACACACATATATATACACACACACACACATATATATAATACATATATACACTAGTCGGCCCGCAGCGTAGCATACGCCGCAGAATTGCTCCTAGATGAGTGAAGACTTCGTGAAAGACACAGTTGTCCAAATGGGGTGGGTTTAAGGATACAACTATGATGTAGCCTGCCAAACATCGGCGACAGCAATGCGTGAACTTCCCATCTAGTAAAGTTACTTGACAAAAACGTGAACTTAAGTAACGCACATTTAAGAATCCCACTTTTCGCCACACCCCTTCCCCCATGGTACGTTACTGCACACTTTTTATTTCACGCCGATGAACTATATTAATATTCTCATGTCCCAACCACTTTTAAACTGAATATCTTTACACAATATTTAAATTGAGACGATTTCATTTCCGAAAAAGAAAATATTACGCACCAAACGCAATTGCGCTACTAAAAAAAAATATATATCATATATTATAGCGTAGTTATCGGGAATTATATTTTGCGCGCTAGTGAACTCATAATTGAACCACACTCTGGTGTATCTATAAATAGCCTGCTTGGTGTTTGATCCGTCTTGTTTCACCTTTGTTGGTGAATTATATATATATATATATATATATATATATATATACAATGTTAATGTTTTTCTTGTTTTTTTTATGTATTGATGAAGTCATTTTCTGAAACATTTGCATTTCTATTCTGTGTAACCATTATTACAGCTTAACCTCCATTGTTTTATTTACTCCACCTGTTTGTGTCTCATTCATCTACTTGAAAGCTTCATAGCAGTCCAGCGCTCATAAAGTGATTTCATCCTGAACTTTGTCTGTCTACCTCTGGACATTTGTTTTCACGGACCAATAAAAATGTGGATTAGGCGTCCATGACCGACTAAGGCCGCAGAGCAAAGTCATGATTTAAACAAAAAAATTGTATAGCTCATATTAGCAAATATTTCTCATAGCCCAAAATGAGTTTTTTTTCCCAACCTGCATAATCTCAAAAACACACCTATCAAGAAACATTTCACGAATCCTTAAAAACTACCGACATCTCACCAATTATGAAAGTCTTCATCTAATTACTACAATAAAAACTACCGACATCTCACCACATATGAAAGTCTTCATTAATTACTACAATAAAAACTACCAACATCTCACCACATATGAAAGTCTTCATCTAATTACTACAATAAAAACTACCAACATCTCACCACATATGAAAGTCTTCATCTAATTACTACAATAAAAACTACCGACATCTCACCACATATGAAAGTCTTCATCTAATTACTACAATAAAAACTACCAACATCTCACCACATATGAAAGTCTTCATCTAATTACTACAATAAAAACTAACAACATCCCACCACATATGAAAGTCTTCATCTAATTACTACAATAAAAACTACCAACATCTCACCACATATGAAAGTCTTCATCTTATTACTACAATAAAAACTACCAACATCCCACCACATATGAAAGTCTTCATCTAATTACTACAATAAAAACTACCAACATCCAACCACATATGAAAGTCTTCATCTAATTACTACAATAAAAACTAACGACATCCCACCACATATGAAAGTCTTCATCTAATTACTACAATAAAAACTAACAACATCTCATCACATATGAAAGTCTACATCTAATTACTACAATAAAAACTACCGACATCCCACCACATATGAAAGTCTTCATCTAATTACTACAATAAAAACTAACAACATCTCACCACATATGAAAGTCTTCATCTAATTACTACAATAAAAACTACCAACATCTCACCACATATGAAAGTCTGCATCTAATTACTACAATAAAAACTACCAACATCCCACCACATATGAAAGTCTTCATCTAATTACTACAATAAAAACTACCGACATCCCACCACATATGAAAGTCTTCATTAATTACTACAATAAAAACTACCAACATCTCACCACATATGAAAGTCTTCATCTAATTACTACAATAAAAACTACCAACATCCCACCACATATGAAAGTCTTCATCTAATTACTACAATAAAAACTACCAACATCTCACCACATATGAAAGTCTTCATCTAATTACTACAATAAAAACTACCAACATCTCACCACATATGAAAGTCTTCATCTAATTACTACAATAAAAACTACCGACATCTCACCACATATGAAAGTCTTCATCTAATTACTACAATAAAAACTACCAACATCTCACCACATATGAAAGTCTTCATCTAATTACTACAATAAAAACTACCAACATCTCACCACATATGAAAGT